GGTTCCCGGAGGCTTGGTGCTCAGGATGGCTCGCTCCCGCTCCTTGCTGATGAACCCCATGATGTACCTGTGTGCCAGGACGTGAGGAGAGCAAGGGTGGGTCAGGATACCGGGGCAGCTGTCCCAGGACGTGAAGGCTACCAGCGTCGGGCAGCAGCAGGGCCTGGCCTGGCCACCGGCAGAGCCACCGACACGTTAGGGATTCCCAGGTGCCAGGGAGAGGTTTCACTCTGAACCCACCAACAGAGCCTGGACAGAAAAAGCATCCCGGGAGAGCCCACCTGCACCCGGGCAAGGCAGCCCACTCCCCCTGGACAGGACTTGTGGGACCCCTCCCCAGGCCCAGCCTAACCAAGGGGCTCTGGAGCGCTGCCGGCCGCAGCTCACCCTTCGTTCCACAGCGCCAGGATTTAATTTTTCACCAAGTCAATGATGTTGTCCAGCCAGACCCAGAAGGAGAAGCCTTTGCCAGCCATGTTCTCCTGAGGAAGAGGGCCGAGAGGCCGTGAGCACAGCCGGGAGGAAGGGAACAGCCGAGGGAAGGTGCTCGGGGGAAGAGGGGGAGTTGTACCTTGCAGAACTTGGCCCAGGTGATCTGACAGCCGGAGTAATTCACACCTGGCCCTGGCAGAGAAGAACAGGAGCATCAACGTTTAGGTTGAGCTGTTTTTCCAAAGGCACCACTTCCAGGGAGCAGCCCGAAGTTTGTGGCGTTTGGGGGAAAACCAAGCAACTGAAGATTACAGCTCCCCTTCCAAACACCATGACCTTGCTCCTGCCTCGCACTCACCGGCGGGGAGCCACGCCGAGGGGCAGCGGGGACGCGCGGGACACCCGCACCAGCTTACCTAGAAGTTTTTCTGCCAGCGTTGTCAGCTGCTCGATGCTGAGGCCACGCTTTGTGGTGGAGGAGAACTGCCAGCTCAGCACCTCTGCCACCTGGTCCCACGTCCCAATGGGGGGCTTGGTGAAGAAGTTCACGTTCTGCACGGGGGAAAACACAGCCCTGAGCAGGACGTGGGACCGAAGCAAGGCCCAGCGCTGCTGCCAGGCCACAGCTTCCCTCAGCAGCTGCTTTCCCTGCCTGCTGGGACACGCTGGACCCAGAGCCTGCGCTGCTGCTCTGCCAGCCGCCCCACAGGGCCGGGTCCTACCTTGGGGTTGTTGGTCAGCATGTTGTACCACAGGATGGAGGCCCAGGCATTGGGCATCTGGCAGATGTTGGAGATGACCACCACAGGCAGCGAGTGGGTCTGCAAAGACAGGACGTGACCACGGGCTGGGACATCTCCCAGGGCTCCTCTGCACCCAGGCCCAGAGACAGGCAGGAACCCACAGCTCACCTCCAGGTCGATCTTCAGCCCCTGGTGATACACCTCTGTCTCGAAGGTGATGAGATGCAGCTCCTCGGTCACGATCAGCGATGCCTAGGGCGGAAGAGGACACAATGAGCATGCAGGAGACGCCTGCCCTCGGCCTGACCCATGGCCATCACGCCCAGCGCTGTGGCTCAGGTCTGAGTGGACAGGGCTGAACGCCCAGAAGGTGCCTGTGGACACCCCTCCCCCGGGCAGGGCTCCCACCTCCCTCGTGGGCCAGCCGCTCGGCACGGAGCGGAGCTGCCGGCAAAGGGCTCTTGCACCCAGGGCCCCCCCAGCACTTACATCGCAGTTGGCTCTGCCTCCGTTACCGCACCGCTGCTCCCGCAGGGTCTGCGGGGAGAAGGAACGCGCTGCAGCAACACCGTGACGGCACACGGCCTTGACAAGCAGCAGCCCGAGAGCTCGTGGTACCCACCAGGTGCTTGAACTCTGCTGAGAGGCTGCCGTTGTTCGACTCCTCCATGTTCATGACCTTGGTGTTTGTCCCCAGGATGTTAAACTTCCGGGACCTGGAAAGAGGAAAGAGCGTGGCTGACAGGGCCCTCTCAGAGCGAACGTGCGGTAGGACATTTGCCAGGGTTAAAAGCAGAAGCAAGAGAAAAGAAAACAAAACCAAAAACATTGCACTTACCCCCGAAGTGCTGCAACATCCCCGGAGTCCCTAGGAAAGGGCAGAGAGACACCCGGTCATGGCCACGGCCTTCCCACCCCGATGCAGACGAGCTGGTGCGCGGGGCTGGCTGCGTCACAACATCAAGGCCCCCCGGCTGCCCCCCAGCATGGGAACAAACCCCCCCCGCACCCTCCCCTTCTGCGGGGGTCACGCTGGCCCTCGGTGAGGGATGGAGCCTGACCCAGCGGCAGCAGGACCAGTCCCGCTCCAGCAGCCCCGCCAGCGCCGCCGGGATCAGAGCGCAGGACTCACTTGTCAATGCAGACTTTAATCTTCAGCTGATAGTTCAGCTCTGGGAACTTGACCAACAACCTGCAAGGAGTCAGCAGGGGCAGAGCGTGAGCACCCTGCACACGTGAACAGCCCCAGTCCGGCGCGGCGCCGGGCAGCAGCGCGGGGGCATCCCCGGCAGGCAGCTCCACCGCTCACACCACACGGACCCAGCTCCTCCGGCATCCCCGGGCCTGTCTGCACGCAGGCGTGCGACCTGTCAGCCCCGACCCCTGTCCCCGAGCTGGGGACACGCCGATGCTCCCCTGAGCACTCCGAGGAGGGCTCGTTTGGGCTGCCCACACCAGGCAGACCTCTGCTCTGAACAAACACCCTCCAACCCTGCTCATGGCTGCCACATGCCAGGGGGCAACAGGGGCACAGCTGGGAGATGGTGAAGAAGCCCCAGGCAGAGGGGGCGGGCCCAGCCGCTCTCTGCGGAGGCTGGCAGGGAACACAGGAGGGCTGGCCAGGCCACCCGCCCCTGCAGCAGGATTTACCAGAACTCCATCTGCCTCCAGGAACACGGCAGAGCCCCAGCCAGGAGCCGCCATCCCAGCCTGAGTCACGCAGCGGCTGGGATTCACTCCCTCCCAGCACCAGCTCTCCCCGGGCAAGCTGGAGGCTGCCTCCGCACCGGCATCTCCTCCGGAGAGAGATCCCGCTTCGCTTCCCCCTGCGCAGCTCCCTTCCCTCGCCCGCAGCGCGGTGGGACCGCAGGGGCCAGCGACACCCACCTGACTTTGGTGGTGAACTGCACGCCGGTTTTGATGACCAGGGGCCGGTCGGGGTGCATGGGCATGCAGGGCTGCCGCTCCACGACGAAAGCGCTGCAGGGGAAAAGCACAAGAACCAGAGTCAAACCCCAGGCCCGGCCCAGCTCGCCCGCTGCCCACCCCTGCACCCACTGCCTGTGCCCAGGGACTGCCCACAGCTCCTGCCCAGCCCTCGGCACCTTTTCATCAGGTTCCTGAACAGCTCCACAATCCGCTCCTCCAGCATGGGCCGGTGCTGGACAATTGGGTCACCCTTGTAGGACACTTTCTGCTGCAGTTCTTCCAATTTCTTGATCTGCTGCCGGGTCTGTAGCTGCGATTCAGCAAGAGAGGTTATCCTAGGGGAGCAGAAGAACCAGCATTAGCTCTGGCTGCCAAGGCAGGCACGGTCCCAGCCAGCAGAGACCTCCTCTTCCCTCGCCTGTGCGAGAGGACACTCTCCGTACCGAACCAGAGAGAACAGAACTCGTCTATGGCCCCCAGCCCAGTGCATTTTTCTAGGCCATGCATTACAAAAGAAACCCAAGTTCTGCAGAGACACCCCAGGAACAGACACTTCTCACAGCAGCCTTAAAATCCCACCGGCCTGGGGCTAACCACTCCAGCACTGGTGCCCACTGCCAAGGACCAGTCTCACTTGGCGGATTACATTTACACGTGCAGGCATCAGCAGACATTTTGCCAGGCCATTTCCAGAGGCAAAGAGCTCATTTCCACTGCAGGTGTTTGAACACCACCTCTCCAGTGACCGATCCAACCCGCAGCCAGCTCCTACCAGTTCTCAAGCCGGTCTAAGCAGATATTCGGTGGGCCGCCAATGCAGGCGATCTGCTGCCGTCTCTTCCAGTCTGCCAGTTCCTCATCTGCCAGCATCTTCTGCACGTACTCCATGGCTGACAGCAGTCCGGCCAGCTCGCTCACAATACCCTGTCAAAAAGAAAGCAAAACCTGCAACATCCTCCGACTCCCTCCGAGATCTGCACGTTTCACACTCATGGACAAGCAAGAAGCTGCCTGGGGCTGTGTTCCCAGCGCTGCTCTCGGTTCTGGCCGTGCAGAAGACCAGGCTCAGCCCAGGCAAGGGGCACCGCTGCACCCCGGGGGTCCGGCAGCCAGCTGCACACATACCCTTCGCATCTGGTCCAGCGCCGTGAGCATCTGCTCCAGCTGCTGCATTTTCTGGCGGGTCACCGACTGGTTGTTTCCATTCAGATCCTGCATATCTGCGCAGAGAGGTGAGGAGCTTTCAGCCAGGCACACGGACTCCTCCTGCCTCCCAACCATCACACAAAAGGCACCCCAGAAAGCCTTCGATAGTTAAGGAGCGATCTCACACGGCCTCTAAGCACTTCTCTGGCTTTCCTGCATGCGCAGCAGTGCTATCACCTCCACATTTCTTTATTCACAGGCAAAGCTCTGGTTTAACTGCCCTGGAGGCAGCGGCAGTGGCAGAAACAAAAGACAAGGTTTCTCTAATTGCCACGCAAACGCCCTGAGCCTAAGCCACGCTTCTTGCTTGGAGAGGAGCCACCGGAGGGCTTCGTACACACCCTCCAGCAATTCTCCTTCCAGGAATGCACTTCGGTTTGCCAGACGCTAATGAGCTTCCATTACCTCCTTGGCTTTTCAAAGTCTTGTAGTTAAAATCAAAGTCATCCTGGAGATTCTCCACCACTTTCATCTTCTGCTCCAGATCCTGCAAGGCAAGAGATGTGGATTTACTCAAAGCACTAAATCACCGTGGTGGGGAAAGGAGAAGGTGCTCAGGCAGCACACGTACCTGCACTCTCTTCCTCACATCCTGCAGATGCTGCTCCAGCATCTGCTGCTTCTCCGTCACTACAGCTGCTGTCGGATGCGTTGCCTGTCCCCCTTGCTGCAGAGGGGACAGAGAGGGCATCAGAACAGGGCCACGGTCCAGGGACGCTCCCCTCCCAGCCCGAGGGGGTCTTACAGGAGGGGTCTTCACTCCCCTCACTAATAACAGCCAGCGTGGCTGGCTGCTCGCTGGCAGCACTAGCTCCAGGGCTGCACGGTGCAGGGCACAGCCCATGCAAGGGGTGAGAGGGGTGATGGAGGCCCACCAGAGCTAGGCAGCCCACCCAGGCAGAGAGCACCCCGGCTGCGTCCCGGCCGGAAGCAGCGGCTG